CTGCGGGGGCCGGCGGCTCTTGGGGGCGGTCCCAGGGCAGGAGCCGCGCCTTTTGGCGCCAGGGGGCGGCCCGAAATGGGAGCCGGAGGGGGACGGTCCCGTGGGGGAGGGAAAGGAGCAGCAGCAGAAGGAACAAGCCACGGGGAACCGGCCCCCTCGCGCAGCCGCCTCTCGGCCCCGGAGCTCCGTCCCCGCCGAGGCCGATGGCAGCCGCACCCGCGGGAGCTCGTCCGCATTCACACGTCGCTCACGTGCGGAGGCGCCGGGAAAGGGAGAGGCTGTGAGACTAGGACGCCTCGTTCTCACTGGACTCACGGCCACTGTGCGGTCCCGCCGGACCCCGCTCGGCCGTGGGGCTGTCATCCGACCGGGTCCGCCCGCGCGGGCAGGGGAGCCTCCGGCCGACTCCACGCTGCGGGGTTGCCTCGCTTTGCTGCACGTCCTCCTGCTCCCCCACCGGCCGGCCGCCCGGGGCGCAGGCTCGGCCCCCGATGCCATTTGTGCTGCTGCTGCCATTGCGCGGCCAACTGAGGTGGGAAGGAGGCAGCGGGGGAGCCGGGCCGCGTGGCCTCTGTGCCACCGAGCGGAGCGCCGCGGGGTCCCTGGTAGTGAGGCTGTCGTTATGCGAGAGGCAGTGACAGACAGGACTCCGCTCAGGTGCTTCCTAAATGTCTGCAAGTTCCACTTTGCAAAGAGGAATTTCTTTTTCTTTTCAAATTTTTAAAATTTACTTCTTAGAGGGAGGAAGGGAGGGAAACATTGATTGGCTGGGATGACGCCAGGGCTCTTGTTCCACTTTCAAAGGCAGTGACAGGCCCTGGCTGGTGTGGCTCAGTGGACAGAGCATCAGCCTGCGGACTGAAGGGTCCCAGGTTCGATTCCAGTCAAGGGCACATGTCTGGGTTCCGTGCTCGATCCCTAGTAGGGGGCGTGCAGGAGGCAGCCGATCCATGATTCTCATCATTGATGTTTCTATCGCTCTCTCCCTTTCCCTTCCTCTCTGAAATCAATAATAAATAAATGAAGGCAGCGACAGGGCCTGCTCACTGCATGGGGCCTGTCGAGTTAGGGATGAGATGGTGTCTTCTCCACCAGGGTAGCATGGTAATCTTGTTTTTAAGTCAAGCTTCCCTCTTTTTTCAAAATATAGTTTATAGATTTTTTACAGAGAGGAAGGGAGAGGGATAGAGAGTCAGAAACATCGATGAGAGAGAAACATCTATCAGCTGCCTCCTGCACACTCCCTACCAGGGATGTGCCCGCAACCAAGGTACATGCCCTTGACCGGAATCGAACCCGGGACCCTTGAGTCCACAGGCTGACACTCCATCCACTGAGCCACCCGGTCAGGGCTCAAGCTTCGCTTTTATCGTTCTTCAACCAAACTTTGCACCCACTGCTGTCCCGCCTGGTTGGGTACGGAGGCTCTTCAGGGGGAAAGCCTTGCCTTCGTGCCCTCAGAGCTCTGGGGCCTCGGTTGCCGGGCTGGTGTGGGCGGGGGAGAGCGGAAGGGAACAGTGTGAGATGCTGGGACTTCAGTGTCCCTTCCGAGGGCGGTGGTCCTGCTGCTGGCAGAGGTGGGCCGTGAGGACGACCTGGCCCTGGAGGCTGGCCACACGGAGCTGTGGGTCCGTGTGTGGCCAGGGGCAGGCCGTGGGGTCTGCCGTCACTCACACTGTGCTCCTTGCAGCCTTCTCTCCTCTGGGCCCGTGCTCCCAGCCTCGGGGATGGCAGCGACTCTGGCCTCTCCGACAGTGAGGAGAGTGTGTTCTCGGGCCTGGAGGATTCTGGCAGCGACAGCAGCGAGGACTCCGCTGAGGGACAGGATGGGGCCAGCGGTGATGAGGGCCACGGCAGGACAGAGAAGACCGCTGGGCAGCAGGTGAGTGGCCCAGGACCCGCGCCGTGGGCTCCCTTGTCTCAGTGAAATCGTCCAGGAGAGAGAGCACCTGGCAGGCCTTGGGGACACACGTCCTGCACGGCTTCCTCCCAGCTTCCTGAGGAACCCAGGCCCTTGTTGCTCCTCTGACGCACCTGGGACACATCGGGACCGGGTGGAACACGTGTGTGAAGCTGGATGCTCTCCAGGGCACTCAGCCCCTGTCGCCAGGCTGGGTTTTTAGGGGCAAATCCTGAGGGATTCGCAGGCGAGGGACTCGTGAGGGACCCAGGCCACCCCGGGCCCGGGGCCACCCGTTCTGTGGTGATGGGAAAGGTGCGCCTCGCCCTTGTCCTAACTTAGCAGCAGGGAGAAGGGCGGAATTTAACGGAAACGCGACGTTTGTTAGGATGTTCTGAGGAACAAGCTCTCACTGTGTCCACTGGCCCTGCGTTCGGAAGGGAAGACCTTGGCTTGTACAGAAGTTACTCTCGTAACGGACACCAGAAAGCAGATTTAAACCAGACCGAACCCTCCCACCGCCCAGGCTCTGCCTGCCACGCTGGGCGCTCAGAGAGGGCGCCTTCACGCTCCTGACCCTGGTTTGTAGGGCTGTGAGCAACTGTTTTTCCACATCTTTTTTAACTTTTTTAAAAAATTCCTCAGCCAAGGATATTATCCACTGACGTTTAGAGAGAGTGGAACGGAGGAGGAGGGACAGAGAGAGAGAGAGACATCAATGTGAGAGAGACACACCGATTGGTTGCCTCCCACAGACACCCCAGTGGGGGTTGGGGATCGAACCTGCAATCCAGATACGTGCCCTTGACCGGGAGTGGAACCCGAGACCCTTCCTTGCAGGGGCGGGCACTCTAACCACTGGGCCATGCCGGCAGGGCTGCTCTGTCTGTTCTTTTGAGTCCCTTTTCCTAGAACTCCCTTTCAACCCAACTTTCCCTCTAAAACGCAGTTTACTGTCCAGCCTGAAGTTCCTTTCCTCTTTTCCTGGGTGGAAACAGCTGTGCGTTTACCTGGCATGTCCTTCCCACGGGGCTGGGAGAGCACAGGCCATCCTGGCGTCCGATGTCCGAGCTCCTCACCTGGCCGTGGGCAGGGGGAGCTCATGGAGGAGGAGCGCGGTGTCCTTGGGTGTGATGAGGACAGGGACACCGCCTGGCAAGGCGGGCCGGGCGCTGGCCGCTCCCCCACCCTTCCTGCGGAGCAGCGGCCCCAGCCCTGTTGCTTGGCTGGGTGTCATTGGGGGGGACTCCTCACTCCTCATCTTGTGTCCGCTCTCCTCTGCGCACCACCCTGCCTCTGGCCCCCTTGGTGACAGCCTGTCCCCGTCCTGTATCGCCCTGCTGACCCGAGTCCCTGTCGGCCAGGCCAGTCGCCCGGTCTGCTGGCTGCGCTCTCCAGCTCTGCCCCACACTCTTTTTTTTTTAATTATTTTTTATTTTTTTATTGATTCTAGAGAGGGAGAGATAGAAACACCAATGACAAGAAAGAATCATTGATCAGCTGTCTCCTGCACACCCCTACTGGGGATCAAGCCCGCAATCTGGGCATGTGCCCTGACCGGAATCGAACCCAGAACCCTTCAGTCCGCAGGCCAACGCTCTGCCCACTGAGCCAAGCCGGCCAGGGCTGCCCCTCACACTCTTGACAGCGGGTCAGTGTCTTGGAGCTGCTGCTGGGGGCTCTGTGCCAGCGGTTGCACCTGGGCCCTGAAGGAGGCCACACTCCCCGTCTCCCATGTCCACCTCCGTCCTCTCCCTGGCTCTCCACTGACCACCCACACCCGTCCTCTCTCTCCTTTGGGTTTGACTGCTGGTTTTAGCCCCCCACCTTCCTCGCCACCCCCCGCGTTCCTCCCCCGCTCCCCGCCCCCACCTTCCTCCGCCACCTCCCACCTTCCTCCCCCATCCCCTGCCTTCCTCCCCCGCCCCCCACCTTCCCCCCCACCCCCCACTCACCCTTCCCGGGGCCTCACCCATCTCCCAGCAGAGACACTGGCTGGGTCACTGCCTGCTCTTGGTTCCACGTCTCGGGTGGGTTTGTGCCTAAAGCCATTTCTTCCCTTTCTGCTTGTTTAGATCCCCTTTTCCTACTTGTTGTGTTTGGTTTAGTCGTTTCTATTTACATGAGGTCGTTTTCTGTTTTTTCAAAGTATATTTTTATTGATTTCAGAGAGAAAGGGAAAGGGAGAGAGAGACAGCAACAACAGTGATGAGAGAGAATCATTGATCGGCTGCCTCCTGCACACCCCCTACTGGCGATCAAGCCCACAACCCAGCATGTGCCCTTGACTGGAATTGAACCCAGGACTCCCCAGTCCACAGGCCGACGCTCTGTCCACTGAGCCAAACTGGCTAGGGCTCTATTTTGTTTAATTTTTTGTGAAAAAGTTCCCACTTTCATTAGTTTGCTTGCTGCAATCGAAAGAGACCCAGTAATATGTTAGCCCCATGAGTCGTGTTTTCCAGATGACAGAGTCCTGTGCACAGAACTCACTGTAGACCCCGGGAATGGTGTGTGGGGACCCCGGCCAGATCTGGGCTCCTCCACCCACAGCCCCTCCTCAGTCCCTGGCTGGGGCCAGTTGCTTACAGAACCCTGCTTCCCGGGCGTCCTGCCTGCGCCCCAGCAGCCCACAGGGCGGGTTCAGGGGGCAGTGCCAGATTGTGCCTGAGCCCCTCCAGGGCGTGTGGATCTGGTACCCCACCACCTTGGGGGTGTGCCTGAGGACCCGGTGCTGGCGGCCAGGACTGGGGTGCTGGGCAGGGACCTTCATGTCCGTGCTGGCATCCTTTCTGTTTTGTCTTCCTGGTCTTGTTTCTTAACTGAGTGTTTCTTTAATGCACTGCCCCCTGGCGGCTGGCGGCTGCCCTGCAGCATCAGGTCTTGGAGGTGGTGGGGGGGGACGTGGTGCCCCAAGGGGACTGCGCATTGAGTCTTGTGGGAGTCGCTGCTGCACACGGGACAGGGCACGTGTCTGCGTCTCCCGCCAAGATCCTTGGCCACACCTGTGGCACAGATGCCGTGGGACTTGGCGCCCGAGGAGCGTCGGGCAGGCTGGCGCTGTGGGCGGCCGAGAGCAATGGCCCATTGGGTGCTTGTGGAGATGCGCAGACAGCCGGGCCCAGGGCCGGGGGCAGGGGTGCCTGCTGGGGGCTTCGTGGGCACGAATGGCAGAGAGCTCTGGGCCTGGGTCGGGCGGAAGCTCGGGGGTCGCCCTCTGTGTCCCCACCTGTGCCCACGCCTTCCAGGCCTTGCCCACCCACTTTGACAGGCGGTGCTGGGAGCAGGGGCAGGGGGACGTGGAGACCAATCCTGCCTGGGTCCTGGCCGGGAAGAAACTTAGGGTTCACCTCCTCACACTGAAGGGAAAAACAGGAGGAAGAGCTGCCTGCAGGCCTTTGGCTCTCGCCGGGGAGCGGGGGCGGGGGGTGGGCTCTGGGCGGTGGGGGGCTCCTGCTCCCCAGCACTTACTGCCCCCGGGGGTGAGTGCGGACTGTTTTCCCCATCACCCCCTTCCAGTGCACTGGTCCCCCCAGCCTGCTGCTGGAATCTGTTTTCCAGGTTGAGGTGTGAATGCTCAGCGACACCCACTCACTGACCTGGTGGATGGGGTCAGCCTGGGGCCAGGGATGTGGTGGGTGGGGCAGGGGCCTGGGGGCCGGCCCAGGTGCCTTGGGGCTGGCTGTGATGCTCTGCTGGGCCTGGGCCAGAGGCGGGGGTCTGCTCTGGGAGGGACCGCTGTGGCCCCTGGGAGGTGGCTGACAGCGCCACACCTCTCTCAAGTGGGACCCCCAGCCCTTGCTTTGCCCCGGACCCCAAGTTGGCACTGGGCCTGGCAGGGCTGGTGGTGGGACTGTTGGGCCAGGATCCGTGCAGCCCCTCTTTCGTTTCGGGGCTCAGGGACCCTGGTGGCTGGTTGCTGCCTGGCACCAGGTGTCGTCCCCTCCCGGGGGTCCTCTCCCAGAGCTTGGACATGGTGATGGGTCTGGCCCCTGACAGAGGACCCGGGCTGGGCCCCCACCCCCCCAAAAGGCCCACTGAGGCCTGGGTGTCCCTGGTCGTGTCCTGAGGCCCCGGGCTGATTTGGAGCTTCTCAGGGATGGGGATGGCGGGAACCGTGACCTCAGAGTCAGCTGGATGGACAGTTGGTCCTCACGCCCCCACCACCCAGGAGGGGCCTGGGGCCTGCCTGGGGTCAGAGGGCGTTGGTGTCACTGGAGCACTTTCTCCTCCCTCCACAGGCTGTCAGCACCCCCTCCTCGCCCCCGAGGACAGAGGCGGCGGCAGGAGCACAGGACGAGTACGCGGAGGACAGTTCCGACGAGGAGGTAGGGCGGCGCTACTGGCAGGGGAGGGCAGGGGAGAGGGGAGCCAGCCCTCGGGCGGCCGAGTGGGCGTCTGGCCCCGGCCCCATTCCGGGTCTGGAAGAGTGATTTGGGGTCTGGGACTCATGACTACAGGAGTGTGTGTCATCGCGGGGGGAGGGGGTGCCGTGGCCCATGCCCATGCCCTGGCCCTGGGGGGGTGGCACGCCAGGGTCACACTCCAGGTGGCATTCCCCACACCACCCAGGCCCGTCACCCAGGCCACCGTCTGAGTGTGGAGGGAGGTGGGCAGCAGCCCTGTCGCTTCCTGCAGGAGCCCTGCCGGAGGGCCTGCCCAGTCGGGCCATGTCCTCCAGGCACAGGCTGGGCAAGGCCCCTGGATCTGGTTGCCCCTCAGGTTCACAGTCTGGAGGGGAAAGTGGGGAGCGTGTGATGTGGGGCCAGGGTGCTCAGTCTGGGGTCCAGAGGTCCTGGTGGGTGGGAGGGCGGGGAGCTGGGAGCTGAGTCCACGGTGGCCGTGGTCCTTGTCCACCTGTCCCCTCCCTGGTGCCTCTGGGTCAGGTGTGGCCTCGAGGCTGGGGGGCCAGGTCCTTGGCCTCAGGAGCACTTCCTGCCACCTATCGGGGGCGGCCAGGCCTGGGGAGGGCGGCCCCCCACTTGCTTCCACCCCCATCCTAGGCTCTGCTGGCAGCGGCTGCAAGAGCCTTGGCTGTCCGCCCGATCCGGTCTCTGTGCGTTCAGAGAACAGAGACAAAACAAAATAAATTGGTTTCCTGGCCGGAGCAGCGGGCGCGCTCGGCGAAGGGGGGCCAAGCGGAGCGGCTCCCTGCCTGTCTCCCCTCCCAGGGGCTCTGGCTGTCGGCAGCCACATCCTGTCGGCTACTTTTTTATATTTGGTATTTTGAGAAATCGATGATGATTGTAAATGGAGTGCAGGCCGGGGGAGGGGCCTCCCACCTGGGGGAGGGGCGCTCCTGTCCTGGAGCCACTGCGGGGGCTGCGGGTGCTTCCTCGGAGATGAGTATCCCATATGGCGGCTGAGTGACAGGCGGGAGCCGCGCTGCCCGCCCTCCGCTGCCAGAGCAGCCCCGTGGTGGCTGGAGGGGTGGCCGAGCCCGGCTTTCGGAAGTCCGTCGGATGCCCCCATCGCCAGAAACGGTTGCCCCTTGGGTGCTCGCAGGCCCATGGCTCCCACCCTGAGGTGGCTGTGGCTGTGTCTCCAGCGTCTGAGCAATGTTGGGTGGGCTTGGGGAGGAGGCCCTGGAGGCTGGGGCGCGTGTGGTGTGGGGTGCGGCCAGGTCCCGGTGCTCCCTGGGCTGTGCCTGGTTGGCTGGTGCCTGTGAGGCCAGGATCTGTGACCACTGCTCTGGTCAGGGCAGCCTTTCTCCCGAGTCTGTGGAGGTGGCCAGTGGTGCCAGGACCCCACTCGGCAGTGGGCAGGGCTGGGGGACACTGGGGCTTCTGGGCCCTCTGGCTGTGGCCTCTGCTGGGCCTGAACCCCCCACCCCCATCCAGACACTGCTGGCTTGGTGCCGTCTGCCTTCATGGGAGACGTGGTCCAGTCTTAGGACTCACCCTCTGTCCCTTTCCCCAAGCTCCCTGGGCGAAGCCCCCGACGTCTGCTGGTCCTGGCAGGGTCCTGGCCCTGAGGAGCCTGTGGGCTCGTCCGCCCAGCCCCCACGTGTCCACCTCGCCCCTCTCCAGGGCACCGGCACCTCACAGACGTGATCTCATCCAGCCGCCAAGGCCCAGGGGTGGGGGAGGGGCGCGGGGAGGGGGCTGGCGTCTGCACCGCACTGCCCCTCCTCTTTGTTTAAGCAGCTGGAGAAACTGAGGAAAAGGCGGGCGGAGAGGGGCCCCCAGCAGGCCGGCGGCTGTGTCTAGGGTGAGGGGTCAGGGCCACTGTGAACTCTGGCGGAAGGCAGAGAGGACCCTGGGTCCAAACCATCGGTTGCGCCCAGGCCTGGATGGGGGCAGGGCTGTGGCGCTGGCCGGCTCCTCGGCCCCCCTCAGCCCCCCTCGCTCGAGCTATCTCAGATCCGCAGGGACAGCCAGGCCTGTCTGCGTCCAGAACCCGCGATCCCCTCTGCTCTCGCGCCAAACGCCGTTAATGGCTTCTCCGAGCTACCGAACCGGCAGCTGCCTCCAGTGCTGGCGGCCTCCCGCTCCTCCGGGGCGCCCGCCCCGCCCGGCCGCGCTTGCGTCGTTGCTGGCAGCCAAGCAGGCGGCTCGGGTTTCTGAGCTGTTTGTGGGACGCCCAGCGCGGAGCCTGCTAGTGTCTCAGCCTCACAGACCGCCCCGCGCCCCGGCCTCCCTGGCGGCCTCCACCCCAGCCAGCCTCCGAATGGGGCCACTGGCCAGGGCTGCCCACGGCCTCGGCCTCGGCTTGTCGGTGGCGGGAGGGCTGGTGGGGTGATGGTCGTGACCGCAGGTTGCCCCCTGGTCCCTTTGCCCGGCTCCAGCTCTGAGCCAGGCCAGGGTGCGTGGGTGGGGCTCCTGCCCCGTGTGGAGAGAAGCCACCCCTGAGGGGGGCAGGCAGGGCTGGTGAGAAGGGAGCAGGGGGTGTCCTTGCCCGTCGGAGGTGTGCAGTGAGCACCCTGGGGCCCAGCCGAGGTGAAGGTGGCTGCAGAGCCCCAGCCCGCTGGTGCCCACTGAGCGCCGCTTTCCCTGGCACTGGGAGCCCGGGCCGGTGGGCGGGTGCTGGGCAGGGCCTCCTTCTAGAGCAGCCATTCTCAACCTGTGGGTGGCGACCCCTTTGGTGTCGAACGACCCTTTCACAGGGGTCGCCTAAGACCATCCTGCATATCAGATATTTACATGACGATTCATAACAGTAGCCACATTACAGTTATGAAGTAGCAACGAAAATAATTTTATGGTTGGGTCACACATGAGGAACTGTATTTAAAGGGCCAGAAGGTTGAGAACCACTGTTCTAGAGGGTTGCCTGGGGCTTGGGTGTGCCCCCTGGGAGGCAGGCTCTGTGGGGAGGTTGGCAGGGCTGTGGCTCAGGCAGGGACGGCTGAGGGCCCTGCTTGGGGCTGGGACGGGTCCCCTGCAGGAGGTGGGGCTGGGGGCCGGTGTGCAGTGCCCAGGCCCAGGCCCAGCTTGAGGGCTGCTCTGTCTCTGAATAGTGTGGCTTTGCCACTCAGTGAGGAGCCAGAGCCTGCACCCCCCTAGCAACGCTCCCTGGACCCTGGTCAGCCCAGGAGAGGGGCCGGAGGTTGGGGTCTCAGTATTGAGGACCTGGGAGCAGGGGTGTCTCAGTGCCTTCTCCTTGCAGACCCCCTGGGGGCAGACTTGCTCCCCCAACAGCCGAGCAGGTAGGGGCGTGCAGTGAGCTTGGAGGGCCCTGTGTCTACAAGTGTTTGCTGGCTCAGGGGCGGGCCCAGCCAGTATGGCTTTTGTGAGGGACGGACAGACGCCTGGGCTGGTCTCGCAGAGCTGCCCTGCTCCTGAGTCCAAACCTAACGGGCAGCCGACGGAGGAGGTTGGGGAAGGGCTCCCAGCCGCTGCTGGGGTCCCTCCTGCTGGGGTCTCCTCCTGCTGGGGTCCCCTCCACCAGCTTTGCTCTTAGGGCAGGACCTGGCTTTCTCAAACCCTTGGGTCTAACGACCAGGATTCATGCTGGAGCCTCTGTGGGTTCCCTGCAGCAGGTGAGCTGGGCCCTGAGATCAGACACCTCGGAGGAGCCGGAGGACTGAGAGCAGGAAGGCCCAGGCCTCCAAGACAGGCGGGAGCTTCGTGCAGGGGCGCTGCGAACAGGGCCGCATTGTAATCGGAGAGGGGCCGGGGAAGAGCGAGCGGAGCGAGGGCGGCTGACCCCGCGCTCCCGGGGGACAGGTGGAGAGGGAACGAGGAGCGAGTGAAGGATTCCAGAGGGTGGGCCGGCTTCCTCCCTCGCAGACAGACGGGCGGTGGCAGCCGGCCAGCGTACCTGCAGTTCCAATCTGCGGTCCTGACAGCTGCAGCCACTTTGGGGAGGGGGAGGGGTGGGCTCATCGGGCGGAACCGTCGCCGCCGCTGCCGCCTCAAGCAGCCACTGGCTGCCTTGTCCGGTGCAGTTGGGGTGGGGACCTGCCCGTGTATCCCACAGACAGATGGGGCTGGTCCCCGGGGCAGAGCCGCCCCAGGAGAGCGGGCCGGGCCGCCTGTGCCCTCAGCCGGGCCTGCAGCACAGGGCCTGACCTGGAGGGGCTGGCGTGCTCACCCGCGGGGTCACATGTGCTTCCTGGCAGACGCAGGTGCTGAGCAGGGTGGGGGCCGGCTGGCCGCGGGCGCAGGCGGCCTGGTGATGAATCATGTGGTGCCGCCAGCAGCTCGTTCCCCAGGCCGGGGACAGGGAGCTGACAGCCGAGGCCGATGGGAGTGTTTCCAGTCCAGCTTGGCCTGCAGAGGCGGCTGCTGGCCCCGGTGCGGGCGGCCCCCTCCTTTCCAGATGCCTGTGGGGCACACGGAAAGCCCTGGGTCTTTGTCCCTGGCCGGCGGTGGAGGGAAGGAAGCAGGGCTGCGGTGGGCGGGAGCACCTGCCACCCCCGGCCCAGCGGGCTGTGCAGCCGAGGGGACGTGCGTGGGGCCGCCCCCAGTCTGGTTTGAATTTCTGGAGCAGTGGAGGGTGACGGAGTGCTCCTCCCCGCCCCCCCTGCTGGCTGGCGGTCCAGCCACTGCTACTGGTGCAGCTCAGGGAGCAGCCGGGCCCGCTGCCCAGGCCCGAGGCAGCCAAGCTGCAGCCGCTGTTGGAGTCATAGGCGCGGCAGCGGAGGGCTTGGCCCGCGTGCACCCGACCAGCTGGGCCCTGGGGACCATCCCAGAGGCCTGTCCTCCCACTGACTTCCCACCTCCACACGTCCTCCTCCCGCACGCGCCCAGGCGGGTCACTGCCGCTGCTCCCCGCCTGCACACCCGCTACCAGCCCCCCCCAGTCTGTCCTCCTCCAGGACATCCTCTCGGCCTCACTGCGTGCCTCCCCTTCCCCATGGGCACTTTGTGGCGGTGAGAGAGGCGCTCAATGGCTCCCCATCATCGTGCGGGGTTCATGAAGGAGGTTTGTCCCCCCAACCTGGGCCCAGGTGTGGAGATGTGAGGCCAGTGTGCCATGGAGCCGCCCACACCTGCATGGTGCTCAGTGCAGCAGGGGGTGCCTCGGACACCCCAGGCCACTGCCTGCCCAGCCTCCCCCCAGGGCATGTTCTTGGTGTCCTGGGGTCCCAGGAGGGGAAGGGGAGCCTTTCTCAGCCCCCAGGTGGGCTCCGGAGTCCCCTGCTGGGTCCTGCTCTCCAGCAGGCCGGTGGGGGGACTGGTGCAGTGACCGAGCGCGCCCTCCGCCCTCCCTGGGCCAGCTGTGGGCTCCTTCAGGATTAAGGAGAGGAAATTTGGGGTTGGGTTTCTCTGAGTGGGACCTGCCGCTGTGACTTTTTATCCTGTTATATTTCTATCAGATTGGACACAGCCCCCCTCTAGCCCTTAATGGCTCTGGCTTTGAGAATTTCCTCCAAAATTACACCACCGCTTCCTGTTCCGCAGTTCCCTGGAGCCCGTCCATGCAGAGGAGGGGGCAGCTCTGGCCCTGCCCTGCTGGGCTGCCCACGTGAGCCTCAGCACCTGGCCGCTCCCCTGGGGCCCAAGAGGGCATGTCCGAGGGGCCTGGCGCCTGCACTGCGGGCTGAGGCCCAGGGCTGATACCTGCCCTTCGGCCGTTCCTCACGCTCGCCAGAAGGCAGGCTGCTGGCCCCTGGGATGGGGGGAGGAGGCCCACCTAGGGCCACCCCGCCTTTCTCCTCCGCCGTGCCCTTGGCGCTCACAGCCGCTGAGCTATAATTGTCACCTGCAGGCTTTTAATGGTGAGCCAGCTGTGCACAGCCGGGGAGGGGCCGTCGCCCTCCTCCCTGGCAGATGGGACTTTGGGGGAGACTCGGTGGTAAGTGGCTAGGGGTCTTTCCCGTGTGGGCCGAGTGCAGGGCTGGGCAGGGGGGCGTGTACCCCGGGGTGCATGTGGGGCTGCCTCCTGGCCCAGGCCCACTTCTGCCAGGCAATGCCCCTCACTCAGCTTCCCCACACGTCCATTTCTTGGGGCTCCATGTCATAGGCTGAAGTGCCAAGGCCCTGAGGCCACAACGAAGTCCTGGGCGCCATACAGGTCCTGAGTGGGGCCCC